CTCGCATGATCAACAAGTCAGAAAAGATGGGTCCAAAAAGCACATCTGTTTCTTCTCCAGAAATAAAGAGTGTTCTATAAGTAATGACCCCTTTTGTTTTCTTTTTATCTTTGCGATAGTCAACCATAAATAGATATTCAATATAGGATTGTTAAAGAACATCATCTAAGCTATCAATTAAATATAAAATTCTATGAAATTCGCATGAACACTACGAGAGAACTACATCGATAAAAATTTTGAAAAAATTTTGGCAAATGCATTTTTTAGTTTATCTCTATAAAGAAGACTCTTCGTAGCATTTTGTGAATATCTCTCTTATTTTTATGATGGTTTGAGTTATATTTTTTTAAAAAGATAGTCTGTGAAATACTGTGCAAAATCGAATAAAGGATACCTGTTGAATACAATAGCGAGAAAACCATATCTGATGGATAGTGCCACACTTCAAAAAGACCTAGTTTGATAGAGACTTTTTTTTGCAAAACTAATTCTTTCTCATTTCCGAAAGAAACATGTTTCATGTCATTCTGAACTAGCATTTTGAAGAGGTATCTTTTATTGGACTTGGTAAAGTATTTCACAGGTTATCTTTTAAAAAAAGTTTAAGTGAAGCCATCAAAAAATTAAGAGAGATAAACACAAAATGCTGCGAAGGTTATTCTTTATAGAGATAAACTAAAAAATGCATTGGACAAAATTTTTTCAAAATTTTTGTCGCTGTAGTTCTCTCTTAGTGTTCATGCGAATTTCATAGAGATTTTTATTTGATTGATAGCTTAGATGACGCTCTTTAAGAATCCTATATTGAATATCTATTTACGGTTGACTACGACAAAGATAGAAAGAAAAAAAAAAGGGGGTAGTTACTTATGGAACACCCCTTGTGTCATCGGGAACAAAACATATTTTCTCTTCCTTACACTGAAGGCTGGCTATTTATAGATGTTATATCTTGAATGAGAGAAGACATTCAGAGGTTATGCACCCACATACAAATATATTTATTAGATTAAAAAAAAATGAATAGAGCCTACCGGAGTAAATGTATAGACTTTTTTTTCATTTTTCATTTGTATGCTTTATATCTCTGTTGGTATAGATGATTAAAAAACTTTTCTTCACAAGTAATGTAGCCCAAACATTTTTCTTCCGTTTGCTCTTTTCTAATTTTTGAAATTTTGTCGAACGGGTGTGGTTGTGTGGGTGTGGGGTGTGGGGTGTGGGTGTGGGTGGGTGGCGGGGTGGCTGGGTGGGTGTGGGTG